CTACTCTCCTCCTCCTCTCTCTCTCTCTCTCTCCCTCCCTCCTCTCCTCCTCTCTCTCTCTCTCTTCCCCTCCCTCTCTCCCTCTTTCTCCCTCTCTTTCTCTCTCTCTCTGTTTGAAGCAATGTTCCAATTTCTAATAGTAACGAAAAATATATTCGCTAAAGACAGCGATTTCTTATTTTAAAAACAAATTTAATCGAAAATTTATTGTATTAACAAAAATGATGGGAATCGCTTTTTTTTTATAAAATAAGCGATCTTCTGACTTTGGTAGTCTTAAATATCAATGCGCAGTCTGTTTCTGGTAGATTAGACGATCAGATAGATGATATTCATGCATCTTTCAACACTGACTTTAGTAATTTCGTAATCGATGTAAAAGTGATCTGAATTAATCCTTTAATTAAACAAACGTTAATTATAATTTGGTGGTAATCATTTTCCCTATTATCACTATCAGTGTTATTTATGCTTTGAGTTTGTTATGCATGCTTTCAAATATTTCGTTGACAAAATGTTTAACCACTATAATTTACCGCATTAATTTTTTTCTTAACTCACTATGTGTTACTTACTGATATGATTGATAAGACAAACAGCCATTTAAAAAAGCAATTAGTTGAGAGACACAGAGTAAAATATGAAAATAAGATACGAGAAATCAAAAGCAGGAAATTTTAACAGAAATGAAAGAAAAATTCTTGTAGAAGATAAAAATTAGATGGGAAATTTTATTACCAGGCACAGATCACTGCTGAAACTGTAGGTTTGACTTCGCTGGCGGTTTCGATTTTGTTGTCGCAAAATTTGTCATCCCAAAGATATGATCTTATCGATCTCATTGCAGTTTGTATTTTCTTTCAGTGAAAAGTGTTTTTTCTCCTTTTTTGATTATTTGTTCGACAACGCCTGGACAGCTTATGAACTTTAAGTTTAACTTTCATGATCTCATCCGTTGGGTTATTTGCCCTAGGCACAACTGATCAGATATTTTAGAGTCGAAAAGAGAATTAAGACCAAGGAAAAACAAGAGAAAACAGGTGAAGAAGGAAATTGCCAATGCAATTTGCGAGACTTACAGACACTTCGTCATTCAGAATTTATTTTTTTTTTTGGAAATGACTCTCAAACTGAATTTAGGAAATTTGTTTAAAAAACTGAAACCAAACAACTGTAATGTATGGCAAATTAGCACCTTTCCTCATCACCTGCTCCCTCTTTAGCTTCAACTAAACCCTCAATCGATTAAAATCGCTTCATCATATCTTACTTTATCCCCCGCCATGTATACTTCCCGCTTCTTTAAATCCGATATGTATCTGTCCTTTTTCTCGCACAGCCTATTACAGTCAAAAAAAATTATCTTCAGATCTCGTTCCATCGTTCAGTTTAGATCTTATTATTGTCCAAATCCTGAGTGAATTGTCATTTCAAGTGAGTTCGATAACTAATACTGAAATATTATGGGAATTTTTTTATACATTTTGAAAATAACTACTCCAACAATATTTTCTCAATCTATAGATTCTTCAAGAAGAAGGAAAAAATAACTATATAAATAGCAATTTTTTTCAAGGAAAAAGTGATTATATACATAGCATTTTTTTTTTTTAATTTACAGAATGCATAAAAAATCAAACAAATATTGACAATCCGAAACGTCAATTTCTTGATAAAAAAAGCAAAAAACATAACTTTGAAAGGCACAGTTCCACGAAACGACATTACAACTAAGTCATACTATGAAAGTGGTGAGATGAGATCAATATTAATAATACACATAATGAGTACAACTTCTGGAATTACGCCTTCTTTTCCTCAGATCATGTTATAACAATTCATCAATTTTGGGCAAAATTTCGACTTTAAATATTCATTTCTCTTAAATTCATGAACCGAAATGGAAATTCTTAAGTTCTTAAGTAGCAGAACAACTTCCAAGGAAACATGAAACCCGTACTAGGATATGAACAATTCACAACTACCATAGAAGGCTCTACGCAAATTAACTGCATCTGATACATAAATAATGTGCACTTAGTTTACAAAACTGCTTACAACAAATAAGTACGGAAATATTTTGTACAATACTGGAACGAATAATATGCCGTAACCGTATTCAGTGACCAAGAACAGATTGATATTTTGTGAATCACTTCAACAACTTGAGCAGAGGAGAAGGCAATTAATCTAATCCCAACAAATTTGTATTCCTTAAAACTGTTATTTGGAAACTACGTTAGCAAATGAGATAAAAATAAAAAGTTAGCAGTGAGACTATCGTATTACCAAAATGGACACCAGCCAATGTAGCACTGACATAAATTTTCCGCCAGAGTTGCTTGATCAATGAGTCGACCAACCTGTTCAGGTACACTGAATTCCACATCTGGATTGAAGTCACGACCTGAAACCCTTGAAAATTAAAAGATGACCAATACTTATTCCGAGTTCTGCTGTACAGTTAACATAAATCAGAATAGAATCGGACAAAAATACAGTCAGAATAATGAAAGGCAAAGTACTGTACAGTGAAGCGAAAAGAAAAGCATAAAGGAAATAAGAAGAAAACAATGTTAAGCAAAACTAAGTAAAAAATTAATATAAGCTGAATTGAATGAAGTGAAATAAAGTTGGCAGTGCATCAAGTACACGAAATTTTAAAAATTTTGATAGCAAAAAATCATTCTAATGTTGCATACAAGACCATCATTAGAGACATAATTCTTTTCATGTTCATCAAAATAGAATATTTGATTCTTTTTGTTCGATTCTATTTAAATAGAATTGGACAAAAGCACAGTGAGAATGATAAAATACAAAGTGAAGCGAAGTAAAAAAAGCATAAAGGAAATATACTTTCATATCAACCCTTGTTAACGAGTAATAAAGGACGTGAGTTTAACTGCTATAATTCCTCAAAATTCGCAGAAAATTATTACCCCGAATATAAAGTTAGGCTAGTTAAAAAACTCATGTTTTATCATGTCATATTTCAGAATTATGTTTCAAACATGATATAGTAGCATTACGTTCAGCTAATGGAATAGCAAATTCATTACCTGCTAATTTTTGCTTGATACGCTTTAGTGATGATTCAGCTTTAGAATCAGTCTGACCATCCTTCTGCAGCGTTTCGGGTGGTGGTCGTCTTCCACCAGCTAGTAAAAATCTGATAAGCATATTTTCTTGCAAACGAATGAAATATATTCCTGTTAATAAGATTTAACAGAGGAAATACGCAAAAAAAATGAAGAATACCTTCCATTAACCTCCAGTTGATAAGAGGATCATATACAAACGCTTCAAGTACAGCGAGAAGGCTTTCCTTATTTGAACGAAGCACCCGCAAAACACGTTCACAAGTTATCCGGTAATTACCCTCAATTCCTGTAGCTTCCATTGCCTAAAAATTATCAACAAATCTAATCCAGATTAACAGATTTTATACATAGACTATCAACAAATCTAATTCAGATTAACAGATTTTATACACAGACAATAGATTTTGAAAGTGAAGATCGATGCCAGGTCATTTGAAATGACTTCTAAAAGTTCAGCCTTTCGATAAATGAAGTTTTATTTTTGCTTGTAAAGGTGAATCGGCCAATCAGTATTCCATACAAAAAGTTTCACGAAAAATGGTGGATAATTTGCAATAATTCGCGCCATTCGAAACTTGAATTTTTGAAAAAATTTCTACCTGAATGAGCATCCTTGTTAATCGGAATGGAATTTTTTCCGGAAACTTTTCTCTGGTCATTGCAACCTCGAAGCAATCTCCGAAATCAATATGAACAATTTTACCACTAACGCGGTCAAGCATCAGATTTGACGGATGTCTGTAAAATGCATGGATCACTTTGCTTCAAACTCTTTTCACAGCAGCAGAACTATGAGAATTATAAATTTACCGGTCTCCAAGTCCTAAAATATAGCCCACCATTGACATACATGCCATTGAGCGAGTGTAATTGGTACGACGATCAAACCAAATTTCCGAACTGTAAATTACGAAAAGATAAAGAAATATAAGAGAATGCGTATGACATGATATTTTTTGATTTGAAACAACTGAATCGCTGAATAAAGAAACACTTTCGAAGATAAAAGTTCAATTTTTGAAAAATTCAATGACTGGATAAGAATGTGGTTCAGTGAAATGTTGGTATGGATCAAAGTGACTACTACCAGCAAAGAGGAATGGAAATACCAATTTTGTTAATAGAAGAAAGGTCCACTATTTTAACCTTATAATCATGTAGGAACTTACTTTGGAGATTTAAGCCATAAAATTTGCTGCAAATCATTTCCGCTCGTTAATTCAAGTGCGTGTTGGAATACCTACAGAAGATTCAAGAAATTTAAAAGTGAACGGGTACTACAAATATGACTACAAAATATAAAGTTTTACTAAAAATTTTGAATAGAAAGTCATACCTGAACTTTCTGCAACAGTGTCATCTGATCTAAATCATGAGCGAAATTTTGCATAATTTTATGCTCCATTGATAAGAGAATCCCTTTCTTTTCCCGATAATCACGAATAAGCGAATGCAAAGTGTCACAGTTTGGAACCCAACCAATCAAACCGCTATTTTGATTCAATGCAATAATTGAATAGCGCTGAAAAATGTTAAATAACTGAAAAAAAAAAAAAACGACCTACTACATTGGAAAGAGGTGCGTAAAAACTAAGGTGAAAAATTTGATTTCTAAGATGCCCGTTTTGACTTTATTTCTCGCTCTTGAATTCCAGGCAAAAGTTAAATATTTAATTTATATTAATCAGCAACTCTTATATCAATTGTAGTTGATAACTTTTTTCGTCAAAAAACACGAAATCAAACAACCTGAATTGTCAGATTTCGGCGAGATGTGTCACCTTGATGCAAGAGCAGAGTATTGACCAAACCAAACAGCTGCATTACTCTCTCATCTTGCCGAGGATCCTCGTGACCTTTCAGGAGGAAAATGTAATCCTTCCCATCACTTCCTGAACATTTTTAAAGGCTTCGTAAAATATCATAATATGAAACACGAACTATAGAAAAACCCTGTTAGAATTTGACAAAATTTAACATCCTGATAAAGACCAAAGTATTGACCGAATTAAACAGAAAATTGAAACTTTAATCACTCCTCTAACTAATATAACTACTTTTCTTGATGTTATCCGGTACCTTTCATAACTACTTTTCTCGGTCGCTGTTTTGAGTTAATCACTTGCAAAGTGTTATGTATCGACGATATAGTAACTAGTGGAGCACGTGGATCATACGTTCCAGGAACTGCTAACTCCAGATCTCTAGCTTTCACCAGCCTGAAATCAATAAAATACTAGTGATGGACATAAACCGTATATTTCTAAGCGTTACGAAAAACAAGGCCAATTCTTAATCTGATTATATTATTCTTTATGTGCCGCTTTCGATTTATTCGGAAGGGTAGTATACGCCTGACATAATCCTGCAGAAATGTGCCTCAAGACCTATTGCTTTACTATATTTTAAAGAGCTCGTCCAGCCAGTTAAAGAACTAAAGTACTATTTATTTTAATCTGTTTCCAAGTCCCTACTCAGAAAAGCAAAGAAATATTGCACCTAGGCGAAACATAATTGAGATCCAACGATGTAAGCTGACGAAGCTGACTTGAGATCTTCCTGAATACAATGTAGTAAAGATCCCATGCCTGATTCAGTTCTTTGGCGTTTTGTGAACGTAAATAGCAACGACAAGCATTCCAAGCCTCCTTCAGTTCATTCTCATATGTCTAAAAAAATGCGCCGCAATAATTAAATGCTCAACCCATTTACTTTAAAAGCTATTAAAGTTGATATGCTATGTAGAAACCATTTCAAACAGTTAAAGAAATGTTTACAGAAAGCACAGTAACGACACAACGACATTATTTGATCGGAATACTGATGCAAATCAAAATCTGTACAGTTTGCATTCCTGGATTATATGACGGATCTTACCATTTCAATATAACCATTTAGAACTACATTTGCTGATGGGGTTGGTTTAGCAACATTTCTTTGAAATTATGTATACAAAACATGGAATAGTCTTTTTAGCTTCTTCAAGATTTAACCTCCTTATTGACTGTCCTAGTACTCAGTCATTTCTAATCTCCACTAAACTTTGATTTTGGTCAAAAACACTTGTTTGAAAGATTGCTTACTTGTTTAAAAGATTGTTCTTTCAGAGTAGTGGCACCACGATCAATCATGTCGTGTAATGGATCCAACAACTCGAACATGGCTTTTACATTCTTATCCTGAAACCTAATCTCGTACATAATTAGTATATCGCTAACCGCTCATATAGTGCCAACACAAAATTGTGGCAGCAAAGTTTTGCAAGTGACAAACAAGACATCAGGTATTATAAGAGCTACATTCACTATAAGTTTATGTAGCAATCATAATGCATGTAACAGTCTTAAGCTAGCACTGTGCACTACGTATTTATTAGTTCTCAACAGGACGGTGAAATATACATTTTTCCGCAAAAATATTGCAAAGTCATGCATCAGGTAACGATATACCATTTACGGTTTGTTCGCAAAAGTAAACACATTGCATGGTAGAGTGCGCGCATATGCATCAGTGTGTGAGTATGGATGTGCTTCTTGCAAATTTGCTAAAAGTCATTCCCTAAAACTTATCTCTGGAGTATGGTCGCTATTTTTAACCTGAAAATAAAGCCTCGACGCATCGTCGAGTGCTTCATGCCACTGTTCATGCCAAAGTATGGCGCAACGAATCAGTTCGTCACTGACAAGCTTTGCTTGCTCAACAAGTGTTGGTTGACTTTCACTCATAATCGTCAATATCTCTGTTGCAACCGCTGAACGCCGTAAGTTTGCCGATTTCGCAGCTACTGTAAGGGCGTAAACCAAAGACTGAAATAAATTTGAAGAACACTATTAATTTCAACCCTGAAGACAGAAAGTTTTCTATAATGAAAAAAGTTCTTCCATAAATTCAATTTTATTCCAATGCTTGAAAATATCTTTGCGATATAAAATTACGAAATAACAGCTACCAATCAGATCCAGCTATACTCTGAATTCCAAACCTGCGGGTGAACTTTCGACAAGTCGATGACAACTTCTTTGATCAATTGAGCAACATTTTGCTTCGAATCTAAACGTGCCATCAATTGTGGGATAACCTGGAATCAAACAGATGAAGGATGAAAGAAAAGGAAAAATGAAGAGTACAAAATGCTCAACTCATAGTTACACTTCACAATTCAAATGAAATCCTTTCGCAGGCTTAAAAGGGTTTTTTAAAATAAAATTCCAGAACAATCTGTTTATTTAAAAACCTCGAGCCACATTTCAACAGGCAACAATTTCAGTGATTCTTTGATAGTTTCGAAAACTTCCATTTGATCACCGTGTTTAAACCATAAGGTCAAAAATCGAAGTGTATCTTCTAATCGTGATCCTAAAAGCTGAGAGGTATTACTTAGAACTATTGATCTTCTTTTAATCATCTATGAATCATAAAAAATGAATTTGTGCATAATTTAAATCACAAAGAAGCACCAACATACAGAAAGATTATGAGGTATTTTAAATTTATGCCCTACTGCTACCATAAGTCTTTAGATCTTGTATGCTGCATAACGGTTCTTCAAACATTACTACTGGGATCAAAAATTGTCTTAATTTCGTCATCAAATCTGGCATAGCTACCATATGTTGCTCCAAAGGTGGATGATATCCATCCAGAACCGCGAAGCAAACGATTCAGCTTTTGCGCAGTCACAGACTGCCACTAAAATAATTTCAAAAAATTTAAACCTTCAGCCAAAGTAACAGCTTTAATAAAGCTTGAAACGGCCTGTTTTGCAAGAAAGATCATCGCCTGATTAGGTGCCGGAGAGGGTGGATTTGCAATCACTGCAGCAGAAGGCGGTGGTTGTGGATACAGTTCTGGTATCAGAATATTTGATGAAGTATCTCGATCTATGACGCTTCCGAAGGGGCCGTAGTTGGGAGAACTTGGCATCGCACCGATAAAAGGTGGTGGTGGTGGTGCTGGCGAAAACTAAAAAAGAAAATAATTAAAATTATGCATACTCCAAAAGAAAAAGTAAAAGTATCTGGTATTGACCTATCCCCAACAAAAACTAAATTATCGCCCAAATAAGTTTTAGTGCTAAGTGCATTTGTCTGGCCTTTAAAATCATGTTCAAATGGTAAAGGTTCAGTTAATTCTTACATATAAAATATATTGCATATTTAGAAAAGAGACGGCAGAAATACAGAATTCTGAAAAGATTAAGTAAATCAAATAATACTACTAGATCTAAAAATTTTTAAGTACTGTTATAATGACAGTTATATCAGCAGTAAAAAGAAAGGAATAAACCGAAATAATGTATGCCGATCATTGCTCAGATACCAATTTAGGATATCAAATTAATTTAAATAGTGCTACCGATATTGATGCATGCGAAAATTCCCGTGCGTAAGAATTTGTGTCCAAGAAAGTAGCAGTATGAGACAGAAAACTAAACAATTCGACTCAATCTCGATGTTGAAGTTCGAGTGAAAAAATAGATAAAAAGATAAACAGAAAAACAATTTAAATATAGTGGAGCTTACCGAATTTTGTGTCTGATACATAGCGGCATTGAAGTAAGCGGATGCAAGTTTATGCCAAGCTTTATACCACGTTGGATCATAATCTGTAGCATTTTCATAGAATTTCATTGTTTGCGTTAAACTGGGTTGTGGTGGACTGGGCTGTAACGGCTGCAGCACATGTGAACCTGGTGAAAATACTGGTGGCGAAGGGATTTGGACATGACTACTGGCTAGAAGTAATGGTGGGACATTAATTATAATGGATGGATTGGTCGGGGATTGTTGAGAGATACTAACAGGTGATAAAGGTCGCTGCACATTCGTGTTCACGGCTTGAACGTCTTTGGTTGGCTGCGGCAAGGTATCGTACCAGTCACCAAGTTTTAGGCAACATTTTGCCACCAACCGGCACATCTCCGAATTTTTCTTGATTTCCCTCTGAAACAAGAATAACAATGTTCAAATTGTTTCACCTACTATTATGCATTAGTTTCTATTCAGTAGCTTCCAAAAGTGTATACATGAATAATCTATGAATGTCAAGTAGGAGACACATTTCTACTTCATTAATTTTTGTTAAGCTACAGAAGCTTAAATTCCTGAAACCTTTTCGGTTTCAAATTGATCGATCAGTTTTCCCAGTGTATTGCAAGCTAGTTCAGTCAGGTTTTCTGCCCAATATTGTTTACAAATTGCCAACACCAATGAAGGCTTATCCATTGGTAAATTTGTTATTTCGTGTAGTTCTTCACTTCGTTTTAATCCTAATAAATCTGCCAAAACTCTACGTGACATTGATAACTTTCCGTACTGTCGACAAAGTGATGAAAATTTAATCCACAATGGGCGCATCTCGTTTCGTGAAAGCACTAATGATCTGAAAATATAAGGTTAATCATTTATTTAGAATCAATTTCATTATTCTTTAAAAATTAAACCAATTAAAAACGAACTACGAGAAATCCAGGGAACAAAATTCTATGTCAAACCAGATTTGGTTAACTTACTTTACCAGCAACAGCCTCTGCCACTGTTCAATATTTGGTCGGCATCCTTGCAAGCGCCGACTCCAAACAACAGCAATTCGAATCCTTCGATCGGGCCACATTTTGTATTCAATGGCCTCCTCCAGTTCAGTTAGTTGTTGTATAAGAGTCATTGCACCATAAGCTCTTTCATAACTTTCTGATGCCATTGCTGTCAATTCTGTGTCGCACATGTCACGTACCTGGAAATAAAACGAGTACAAGCAGTTTGCATATATTATGAAAAATTTCATCTTAGAACTGCTCATGGATAATCTTGACCAAATCATAAAATCCATTTCAAAATCCAGTTTCAGTTAAAGTATTAATCAGACGAAACGGAACTGATGAATACTTGACATCAAAGTATGATAAGATGCAACAGAACTCAAATAGAATTACAGCTGTGTTAATACAGTATGCATGGATGGTTTTGCAATATCATAAAGGAAAGGTGCTTGTTAAAGGTTATTATAGGCAATGAATTATGGTCGTGCACCAAAAAGTTTCGTAAGACCATTGTGAATCTGATCAAGATGGACTAAAAAGTATGTCATTTAGGAGGCTCGTGCACAGCAGACCATATATGAATAGATTCATACCTTTACCGGAGTTAAGCTTCTCAAAAATCATTAAGCCTATATAAATATAATAATCACGAATAACCTTTTCAATGTAGGCCATTGCAACATGATACTGCTCATTTCGAATAGCCAGCACGGCTCGAAGGAAGGATCCGTCCTGATTATTTTCATTGATCTGCCTGACATAATAATCCATTGTTTCCCAGTCTTCTAAACATTCATCGATACTTTTTCCATTATAAATAGAAGGAGAGATTACAAAAGCACTATCCTTTAAGTGTGAGTTTCAGGAAACACTTACCGATTGCCCAACTACCTCGTGCTGCAGTTATTGCCATATTTTGCCTCCTAGTTGCACTTGTTGTTGTGCCGACTTCGGCGAACGCCTTTTTCCCCAGGTCATTTAATTCACCCCACTGTCCTAATGCCTCTAAGCATCGCATCTGATGTTCATATAGCTATAATAAGAGAATTTTTATATAAATCCAATGATTTTCAGGAAGCTTAGCAGTCATGAACATTACAAGCCGGTAATTAAAACGAGAAATCGATTATGTCGACAAGAAGATCTTCTAAATCACGTTTTGAATTAAGAACCATAATAATCCAGACCTCATCAGTAATGAATGTTTCCTTGTTATATATCTCCAGTGCCTTCTCCCATTCATTCAACTTCTCATACCAACGTCCCTGCCTCTGCAATATGAAAATACTCAGTCTGAAAGATTGATTAACATTAGGAAACGGCTTAAACAAACAAAGCAACTCATACTTCAATCAATTAATTAGTAAGTAGTTAAATTAAACTAAACTGTCTGCTCAGATTATTTAAATTAAGAGTTGAAAGGTAACTGAAACAAAACATATTACACTCGCATCACTCTGTCATTTATAAAAATTGTGCCTTTTCAGCATGCATATAATCCCGCACATATTTGTTCGTAATGCACACCAGATACTCGCATTCAAATACGACTTTTACTATAAAGGTTAGTTTACGACAGTCATCAAACACCGACTCCAGACCACATAATGGTCAATATAATTTGTTTGTTGCTGTATTTATTTCGCGGTCGCCTTACAAACGCTCCTCTCTACACTACAAAATATCGCATATTCTCAAGTCTTCTCATCGTTTTAAACAACTTCACGCCACTATTACAACATAACGTTAAGAGTTCACATCACCGAAGACTGCGTGTCAATTTATCAGCAACTATCTAATCATCCACTTCATCAATGTAATTCTAATTATTTATTTTGCACTACTGAAGCTGATCTCATTAACTTACTCCTATTTCCATATTATGTTGCCGAGCGAATGCCACAATTCCAGCAGCTTCTTCCTGGAGATTCAACTTGTTTGCATACCTGCAAATGATTTTTTTGTAAAGTCCAACTAGAATAGAACTCATTCCTGACAAACTTTGAATATGTCGAAGAAATTAATAAAATCCCCACACAGCAAACTCACGCAATGAGAGAGCGGCAGTGTTCCGGATCTGGATCTTTGTTAAATTTTTCGCGAATATTCAATTCCGTATACCGTAACGCTTTGGCATATGCTCGTGTCTGTTCAGCACATTTACATAACCTCTCACTGCCTACCGGTAAAGGCCCCTAAAAACGATTTTCTGGAGTCTCTTTAAGGATTTGGAAAGTGCAGTTGCAAAACTTTTGAAACAAAGGAAAATAGTTGAATGGTTGTTTCAGTTTGTTTTTCAGAGATTGTTGTGTTTACTTTTTCCGAATGATCCATAAATTCCGCCAGATTCAATATTGTTTGTGTGATATCGGTATGGTTACTGAAATCAAGGGCATATTTAAGGTTCGTTTCCAAGTCTCTTTGTTGCATTTCGTCCAGGTCTGTCCAAACCGACATAAATGCTGCATTGAACAGGTCTCTGAAATAAAGCTCTACAGGTATCAAGAATAAGGATTTTTTTTTGAAAGGTGACACATAAAAGTTCTCGAAAATTCATTATCAAAAAGACTTATGAAACAATAAATTAAAATTTATAAGGATTTCGGATGAAAACTTCGGGTAAGCATGATTTCCTGCAGATCTATTCTATTTTATGTACTAAGAGTGAATAAGGCTTTAGAAGCACAGTCACCTACGTTCCACAGAAAAAATGAAATTTCAGAAACAAAAGAATTACTTTGCAAGCGATATATGCACGTCGGCTAGAGGAGCACATGCACGAAGAGCCGCAGACGAACTCTGTCGAATAAACTGAATCCGCAGTAAAACAAGCCACTGATCCCAGTCCTGAAATGATATGTTATACTGATGATTCAACGTCAAAATCGCAAAAGCATTAGGAAAATTAACCAAAAATTTTAATCTATTTGAACTTTAATAAATAAATCAGTGAGGAATTGTGGGGAATAAAGAAAATGAATTAAAGCAATAATTCAAACTCATCAAAATAAAAGCCGCTGCATTTTAAAAAATAATATGCATAAAGCAGAATATGAGCCTGTAGCGTTTTAAAAAACAATATGCATAAAGCAGAGCATGAACTTAAAAAGTGAGCTTTTGTCGTATAATTTGTTTTATCTAGAATAATTATTCAAGCCTAAAGGTATCGAAAGTTCTGCGTACTTTTGATGATGAAGCCAAGCATAGAAACAATATGCACAAGCTGATCCAATGTTACTATAATGCGATTGAAATGGAACTATTACAATCGCATCTTCATCTTCCAATTCAGACAGAAATAAAATAAAGTGGACCTCTTTGGATACAAGTTGGGCAGTAGTCCAAGTCCTTTTTAAAACATCAAAATTAATTCGTTGTCCTTTTTCATGACGGGAGGATGTAATAAGCTGCTTTACTTGAGTGGAAGAGATTTTCACTGTAGGAGAATGTGAAGGAGGTGCAGCGCTTCCCTCATCGAGTTGTACAGTAAGCCTAAAATGGTTGTTAATCTCATCCATTTTGATATAACTAAGGCAGAGCTTCCTTAAAAGACTTTTTTCTTCCTGAAAATAAAATTAAATTTTGAGGAACCGAATCCAACCTCACTAATATTATTCACTAGCAAGTGAAAAACAAAACATTTCTGTTTTATGCATGAAGAACTAAACTATCGGTTTGATAATGGAATTTACGTCAAAACTGATTTAATTTGTTTTCGAAGTTTTGTTAGGTGTTAATCTCAACAACGAACTAACTTTAAATATTCATCGCAATGCAAGTCATGCCGAGCTAGAGCATAGTCAACACTTTTACGAAAAACCAGAAACTGTCTCCACATCTGCAATGACCACCTGAGAAGCAGTGGGGGAAATACATTGAGAAATAAAAGAAAAAAAGTATAAGTGTTGAAAATATAAAACCTACGAGTTAAAACAGGTTACAATTAGTTAATACCAATGAACAAAATCTCAATAAACAATTGACACGAATTACTGGAAACTTTCGATATTTGTCAACCGTCAAAAAACATGAAATATTAACCTGTCGGACAATAAGCACTAATAAAAGCAGCAACTTTTGCTGTAGTGCATGAACAGAAATAACCCGCAACCAGACTTGCATTATTCTTGGTGCATGGTCACGAATACAAATAGTTTCAGCCATCTGATGAACTGTATCCAAAGCAATCCGTCGCACTTCCACCTTGACAGCTCGGTCATCGAGAACAAACAAAATGGGTGGCAAAACAAGATGAATATGTGGTGCTAGGCACATTGATATTGACTGAACGCATGTGAATACCTAGAAAAGGACACAATATTTGTATAAAAAATGAAATTTTTAAGTGTGCATAGATTTCATATACTTTTATTTTCAATAAATTATAATAATTTCGTAACAAGATAGTTAGCGAAGGAATTACTTTAAAAAAAGTTACTTTAATAAAACTTATTTTAATAAAGGTTAGCGAAAGACCTATTTTAATAAAACAAACGAATATTCAGTAGTGTTTTCACTATGATGTTTTAGATCTTGACTGAGAAAAAACAATACAGCTAAGTAGTCACTGCCATAGAGATATAAATCAAAATAAATAAAAACTATTATGACAACTCACAATAAAAAGTAAATCCACTTACAGCGCAAGTAATGGCTCGATCTTTAGTACGATCTGATTGAACAATACTCAGAAGATACGGGCATAATTCAGGAATATATGGTGCGAATGATGCACCAAATGCTGCGCCAATTTGCTGCATGACATTAACAATAGTAAGTCGCATGCATACATCTTCTGACCATGCTTCCTTTAATATTTCATTAATTTTCAGTCTTTTTTCTATCAATGAATTTTTAAATATTATAATGATGGGTCCTGAATTACCAACAAATTTGGTAAACTTACTCTGATCAGGCTAAACAATTTCGACATGAACGGTTTCATACTACAGCCGACTATTGCTATAAAATTAGCCAGCTGTTGCAAATAAAACTGCTTCAAATCAGGTCGAGTAGTTGTTTGGATTACTTCAATAAGACGAGGTATAACCTGGAAGATTATTCAAACTTTTTTCTATAAACTGAAAAAATTCCCCGATGGAAAAGATACATTTGGTAGACAGCATTTCAGACCTATTTGTTAGCTGGTAATCTTACGATTTTAAGTTTCGTTAAGTAAAATTCAACATGGAAGAAAATATATATGAAAAAATGGTAAATAAACTTGCGTAACCTTGCTAACGTAGAGAGCACAACTTGAACCAAGACTGCCGAATATAGTCAGTAGTGCCTGGATGATATCACGATGCAAATGGCTTAGTGCATCATCTTTCAGCATCTGCATTAAACTTGCTATGGAAAATGCGGGATAGAGTTCTCCCAGTGTGCATTTTTCATAGTGAAACCATTGGATGGTATCTGAAAAATGATGAAGTTTCTGAGCTCCCAAGAAATTCCGAAAGTTCGAGCAGTTCCAAAACACCACAGTTTTTCTATCATTCAATGCACCACATTTCCTGAAGAAGATGAGGAAGATATGGCTGTATGATAGAGCCAATGATATGAACTTTGTGATGCCAGTATTTGAAACATCTGTTTCATTTATCGCCTCTCGAAGTCTCAATGGCTAAATTCCATAACAAAGCTGAATAAAAAAAAACACCGTTCCGCAAATCCGAAGATGGTGATGTGGCCGGCAACGAAAGAGCTAACGAATTTGACTTTTGAGACGAAACTTTGCCAGTGAAAACTTTATGTGTATATGGATCTAAGGCCCCAATAATACCCAAGACCTGAAAATGGTTCGGAAAACGGTTAAATAGAGAACTTTCAATTTGTAAAAATTCATAAACTGCAAGAAAAATCTCGAATAAAAAGTCACCCGCATAGTCATTCGACGCATTGAAACACTCATTTCCGTTCGTAACAATTTCAGTAGCACATCAAGCAATTCAGGATGCTCCTTATATGGATCAACAACATATGCAGTATTCTGGCAAAGCTGTCCCATCGTACGCAAAGCAGCCTAAGAAAAGGATTAAAAAAACACTTAAAGTGTGGAAAGAAAAAACGAAGAAATGCAGCTCAAAAGACTTTAAAAATTAAGCACTTCTCTGCGACTTAAACTGCTCGAGTCTTGCAAAAACTGCACTAACGAGGGGAACAGCGTTTCTACTGAAAATACCAAATCAGCACCACCTGCAACCGCCAATTCACTTATGGCATTCAATACCTGTAAATGTACTCGCATGTTATTTCATCATTCAAAATTCCAAATCCATTTATAAACTTCAAAGTACATGCAATAAACAAACTATTAAACCTGCACGGTCACATCCACATGACTGATTTCGGAGCTTAATTTTGGTACTAAAGCTGTCAGTATTGGATTCATATACGGTTTTGCAAATTTTGGAGACTGCTTAGCCACCTGTGCAATTACACGAGCACTATGTTCTTCGAGTCTGGAATTTTCATACCTTTCGTCTTTTTCGAAAAACAGAACAGAAGAACTAATTTATTTTTCAATAGATTTTTTTCACAAAAGAATTTTTCCTTGATTTTTAAATTTATTATTTAAATTACACTTCCTTACTTGTTAAAAGAACACCATGAGAAGATATTAAACTCATTTAACGTTCCAACATGTCTTAAGATAAAATAGGAAGCAGTGACAATTCCGTTTTTCAAATCACAAATGTAACAAGTTCAGAACGCAAATAGATGTAATAAGCTACCTGGGTACACCGCTGTTCGTCAATTGGGTAAGCGTCTCTAACAGGACATTACGTAAGCTCGGCAAAACATATGCAGGATTTAAACTGCCCAGTTTTCCAAGTAAGGCTACCGCATGCTCCTGCATTTCCAGTTTTTCATCATGTAAAGTCATGAAAATAGAATCAAGCATATCAGCCTGTGCTAAATGGGACAAGAGAAGT